ATGAGTTATTATTCTAAGCTCAATAAAAACACAACCTTTGCATACACCTGGACAGAAAACGAATTTGGTAAAACAGCTAATTAAATAGCATCAGCCGTCTATGATACATTAAATATAACGAATTTATCAGGGATCACTATCATACGCTTATTTGCCGACGGATGTTGTGGGCAAAACAAAAATAGCATAATGCTAAGTATGCTATCAAAAAATGGTTATTGGAAAAAGCTTCTGTCTAATATATCGAAATAATATCTCCCGTAACAGGGTATAGTTTAATGCCTCCGGATAGTCTTCGGTAATATAGAAAAGGTTCTAAAGAAACTAGAAGTAATCATCATCCAACCAGAAGAGTATTGCGACATCATTTCAAGTAATGCGACGATAACGAATCTAAGGGATATTATTATGTTAGACTTCTAAAGAGCCACTCAAGAGCTTTTTAAGCCGACAGCGAAATGGCCATTCACAATAGCCGAATGCAAAGATTCATTATAAAAAGATCGAAGACCTCAGGAAACACAGTTACCCTGTAGGTGGCGGCCTCCCCCCGGTGAAGGTCAAGGGGCGACCTGAGGGGGTGAGGCCGCGCGGCGCGCTACCAGCACTCTAGCGCGCTGCCGTGGAGTGAATAGAGCGACCGGTCGACGGTGTATCGCGTCCCGACCCGGCAGGCTGGTTCTGGTCCAGCGGGGTATTCCGGGACACCAGCGGCACCGTCTGGGCGGCCCGACGGGCTGCCGTACCGAGACGGCCGACGTTTCAGAGCCTTCGATTCGCCTCGAAGGCTCCGTCGGCTGGGCGTCCTTGGGGTGAGCCGCGCCGTCTGGTTGTAGTGTTGACCGCGGTAGCCCCCCTACCTCATCCGGGTTCTGACCTCGGAGGGGATCGGACGTCGGGTGTAAGAGTGCAGAGGAGTCGTTTAGTGGGTGGGCTCTAAAATCCTTGGGCCCGCGGTCTGCTCACAACACCATGCAGATCGTTGAGTCTCACATACCCCGCGCGCCTTTTTTGCGCGGGGACCTCGTAGGAGGTTCGGCCCTCTACCCGAAAAAAAAAAAAAAAAAAATAAGGAAACACAGTTATCCGCGGTGTACCGTTTTATAATTCAGATACGGAATAAAGCCTTTAATGTCTGCAAAACCGGTAAAAATACAAACCTACCACAATTTCAATGGGAGTGCCTGTAACGTAGGCCAAAATAACGGATGTTGAGAAATTGTTAGCAAAACATTTCGAATTAGCAATTTTGGCAAGACAGAGAAGACTTAACATTTTACGTAGGTATTATTATTAGAGGGTCATTTGTTGAATTTAATCAAAATTTAGAAGAAAGATTTTGTGGAGGGATAGCAGAAGAATCACCAGTATTAACAATATAATAAGTATTTAAGTATTTAATATATAATAAGTATTTAAGTATTTAATATATAATAAGTATTTCACTTATCTAATTAAAAATGTATTAAAATTTGTAACAAAATAAGATAATTTTATTTTTACTTTATCAATGTTAATGTTTAAGATCACTAATCCGAAGCCGTCATTTTGAGTTCAAAATGGCGGCTGTCATTATCAAATACAGTTATATCCAGTTACTCAGTATTAAATTCAGCAAGCAGCAGTCCTATAGATGGAATCGAAGACAGCTAGCTAAATGCAATTTTATTTTTACTCTGTACCAACGATTTTATATCCAAATAATGCGACAAAAATATTCGAATTTTTAGAGAAACCCAAACAATATATTTTGTCCTTACGAATTTATAGTAAAACTAAGCGAATTAGGAGAAGAAGAATTATTATTAACATATCAAAAAAGCAATAGTTGAATGCAAATAAAAAACGGGCTTTTTGGGATTTTTGATTTGCATCCAGAGTTTGAAGCATATTTTTCCTACTTACGTTACTGCAACAATATCACCATTTTACGATACGCCAGTATTAAGGTATATATCGCAACATATCGATTAAATCAAGACTACGTTGAAAGCTTTTTTGGTATTATCCGGCGCCAATGTGGTTACAATAACAATCCGAACACTATTCATTTTAAAGGATTGTATAAAAAAAAATCAATCACTTAGAGTTACGCAGTTCTTTTAATGGCAACTGTATTCCTTTGGAACATATTCCTATACTCACGTGCTCATCGTCAGATATTATAAATATTAATTCTTCATCAGGACTTCGTGCTTTAGAGGAAACTGATATAATATTGTAGATGTCCCTACAACTAGTGATAATAATTCTGAAAACAATGTCACTATTCTTGCCGAAATGCTAAATATTGAAAATTGTTCAGAATCAGCCAAACAAATAACAGGCTATATTTCTGGTTGGATTGCGCGAAAATTAACAAAAACTTTAAAGTGTGAAACCTGTATTAATACTTTATATACCAATAATAAATTGTGGTTCCATAAATTAGTTACAATTAGAAATATGGGAGTTTTTTGCTATGAAAATTTGTTTTTCATAAGTCTAAAATCTGAAAATACTATAAAATCTCATTTAAACGAAAAGGGAGTTCATTTTGTAAATAATCAAGATATTGATTTATTAAAATATCGAATTTTAAAAACTTTTTTAAATTCCAATATATTTGACTCACTCTTAGAACATTCAAAGCAAACAAGCCCCCGTTTTTAATCATTGCGTGAATTTAATTAAACCATAACCTGATTTCTGGTATGCATGAATAGTTTAAAACACCTTTACGCTTCACTTATTGAAGATAATCAAACACTGGACTACATATCCACATATAGACTAAGCCAGGATCACTCATAGAGATTCTATTTGATGTCATCCGGAAGCAAGGAGGCTACAAAAATAACCCTAACGTGGTTAAATTTAAGGGTATATATATAAAGATTTTAAATCATTTGGAACGGCGTAACGCTTTTAGTGGTAATTGCATCGCAGTATGTTTGAATTCGGAACGTCAAAAGTGTGAACGAGGGACGTCCGCTATGACACTTTTGCCTTTTCAATTCCATAGATTTCATATTTCATAAATTCATATATCTTTAATTTGTCACTTATGGACTAACTAGATGACGAGATTTTTTTTGATAACCGCCATCTTAGTTAGTTGCCCTCAATTAAGAAAAATAGTATTATTATTCCCCAATAGATGTCGGGAAGAGATGATTATTGGAAACACGAATAAAACAACATTTTCTGAAAATAAATCGTAGCTAGATCGATTTATCGCTCCCGAAATCCCCTGTATACTAAATTTTATGAAAATCGTTGGAGCCGTTTCCGAGATTCAGATTATATATATATATACAAGAATTGCTCGTTTAAAGGTATAAGATAAAGATATCACCAATAAATACAGCCACTCTCAATTACCACAACGCAACACACTAGAAAGCGTCCCTATTTTAAATTGTTCATCCGCCATCTCGTATATTGACCGGTCATCTGGTAAACGTGCAATAACCTGAGTCGATGAATCTGATTCTTCAGACGGAGCCAAATTACTGAAAAGTGATAACACTGCACAGGACAATGTTGAACGATTTGTGAAAATTCTTAATGATGAATACTCAACCGATTCTATCAAACAAATAGTGGGCTACGTTTCATTGGTTGGATAACAAGAAAAATAAGATGCGAAATTTGTATTAACACGTTATTTTCTTGTGAAAAATTGTGATTGCACAGATTAACATCAACCAAAGACATTGGTGGCCTATATTACTCGGCCGAAAATTAGTTCTTTATTTACTTGAAATCGGAAAACATATTAAAGGCATATATTATTATATAAAAGAGAACGGTGTATATTTAACTACAAACAAAGAAATTGATGTTGTTAAAAATAATATTTTAAAATCTTTTATAAATTCAAATATTTTTAGTAATCTGGACGATCATGCGATGATAAAGCCACCAACTTTTAATCACCGCTTACATTTAATTAAAGCAATAATAGAAAAATATGTTAACGTCCGTCTTCACTTTGCGCAAAAAAACAACTCCGACTAGAAAAAACTATCAAAGAGGCATAAAAGAAACAAACTTAATTTGTTTGAAGGTAATTAGAACTAAATGAAAATAAAAAAATATAACTATTTGTCCTTTGCTGTTTTATTTCTTAAAAGAATAGTCAGAGTTCATTTTAGATATATCAATTCTGCTTACTAAACCGTAGGCATCAAACCATTTTATGTCTGTTCTGTGACATTTTAATTGTTAAGCTATGAAGTCGTGACATCGCAACGACACTGCGTAATATATATCCGTCTTGTTTACGGTCTTGCAAATTAGCATGCTATCTTTTTCACACATTACAAGCTTGTCAAGTTAACTCTGCTCATGCGGCTATATAATATCATCAACTTAACAGTCCATTTAATTCGACCGCATAATATCGTATAGTTTAGTGTGTTTATAAATATATTATATAGGTAAATACGTCGCGGACAATGCTTGACTTCGCATTAGTACTAATATAACGTATCTACCTCTTTTTACTATAACACCGGTCACTCACATTCGCACGAATACGCAAACCCGCAAGTGTAGGACGACATTTGCAAATGATTATGCAAAGTTTTCGCTGCATTCGTGGTTTTCCAAGCTGTGTCGGTTTTTTAACAGACATCAAAGCGCGCGAACCGCGATCCTTCGCCCACGAATGTGTGGGAGAGTGGTCTCCCACACATTCGTGTGACCAGTTGCGCCCAGGATTGCGAAGGCAACGGACGTTTCGCTAATTTTATAGATCGTGACGTCTACTGTTTAACGTATCTTCATCAAAAGAAATCCCATAAAAACAGCATGGCTATTAATGATGTCTGGGAAAAAATTCAATACACTTTTTCTCTTCAATGTTTTATTGACGAATTAAAAAGGAGGAGAAATTCGTGAGACATTCGTAAACAAGTGTAGGAGGAAGCGCAAACGGGTTCGCAAATTGAGTATGCGAACCCATTTGCACAGCCGCTGAGTTTGCGAATGAATGTTTGACGGCCCAAGCATTCGTACAATGTACGAATATTTGCGCGCATGTGAGTGGCCGGCATAACATCATTGGTATTTGCAGTGGAGTGTGCGGGGAGACAACTCCGCGCCGGCGCATCGTCCCGACCGACAGTGATTCTCACGTCTTGACGCAGATCGCATGTCGCTTATCGCTAACTCACTGATTTACGTAATTCATTAATTCCTATATTTGTTTTGTTTAAATTCAATTTTCACCTTACTTTCTTTCTTCATCTATCTCACTATTCTATGTACTAATTCTTCGCTTGTGATTGTGCCACCTGCTTGTGTTGTGTTCCAAACTATTGTATGTAAATTAATAATAAATCTTGACGATTAGGACTTTTGGTGGAATACAAATGAACAAAAACTATTTATCCTAAAGTGGCGACCCCAACGTAATGGATATGGCGTATCGGATAACAATCAGGTATTGATCGCGCATTTAGCATGCGGTAATCGCCACAGGTGGATCTTGATGATTTCGATTTATGCGCATTAAGAAATAAAATCCATGAAATGTATACTGTCAGAAAAGTTGTTCCCAACCGTGAATAAATTACTTATTGAATTAAAGAATGATTTATGTAGGGACACAGTTTAGTAGCGTAGGCAGTTTTGTACATCGCTTGCATTTGGTCAGTCGTACATAGCCCACCCGACACGTCAGACACTTGTGAATATACGGAGTTAAATTTGAACCAACATGTTTTATTAATAAAGGGCAGTTTACACCCTTTACTCTTGCATAAGCAACCGTACAATATAAACTCTGGTGGAGGTCGAACGATTTTGTGATTTTTTTTAAAACGAATCGAATTTAAAAACAAAAAGTGTGGTTCGAAGCGGAAAGTCTTAATGAAAAGACACGACTTAATTGCATGGAGACGCAAGTATATCGATACTATGAGGCAAAATCGTGTAGAAGGTCGGCCACTAGTTTTCTTAGATGAAACGTACATTCAGGCATCATATGCAGTGAAAAAATGTTGGCAAAAAGATGACGAGGACGGAGTACTAACAACAAGTGATCCTCCTGGAACTCGATGGATTATTGTTAATGCAGGTGGAGAAATGGGGTTCATTTCTAATGCTCAATTGATTTTTCAATCACAGAGTAAATCAGGGGACTACCATGACGATATGAATAGAACAAATTTTATGAAATGGCTTTCAAAGAAGCTTATATGCAATTTGCTTCCAAACTCGTTAGTCGTCATGGATAATGCTCCCTACCATACAGTACAAGTGAATAAAACACCTTCTATGAGTTCCTCAAAACTCCAAATGCAAAAATGGATTACAAATAAAGAATTGTTTTATTTACCAACAATGTTGAAAGCGGAGCTTTATCAAATTATAAAAGAGCACAAAGAAGCGCCCATTTATGAGGCTGACCAATTATTGATAAGCCATGGCCATAAAGTGGTTAGGTATCACTGTGACTTAAATGTAATTGAGTTTATGTGGAGTCTTTTAAAGAGACGAGTAGCTAGCAATAATGTCGGCCAAGAAGCTGGTAATATCGTGAAGTTAACTGAAGAAGCTTTTTTATCGATAGCCCCTCAGGATTGGCAAAAACGGTGTGAACACGTAAAACATTTAGAAGACAAATTTTATGAACGTGATGGCTGCATGGATAATATTACGGACAAATTCATAATTGAACTAGGAAATGACAGCAGCACAGATTCGGATACGTAAGCCGACGCTTATGCAAGTGACAGTGATATGTCTGGAATCGTCAGGAAAAATTAATTAAATAAATAATTTAAAATTTAAATTGTGTCATAATTTACAACCTTCCTAGTCTTTTGGTTATATATTATTATTATCTAAACATATAATAAAAATAAGCTAGGTCGATATCTGTACTTTGAAGATATTGAAGAAAAACTAATACTAAAACTAGGGGGTCTTTATTAGAGCAACAGGAGCCAAAACAATAATTTTACATTACACACAATGTTCCGGCACATTGCTAGCCGTCCCTCAGTGGAGAGGCGCGGGGAGGGAGGTTTCGGCTCGCGGCTGGGAGCGCGGCCGCCGGCCACTTCTCTAAGGACTAGCTAAGCGTACGCGCATAATTTGCAATTCAAAACACAATTTCGGCCACGGCAATTTGTAATCAATTTGTAACAATAATTATAGTAATGTCACAAGTTTAAACCGTAATTTCATTAAGAGAACCTACACATACAAAACACACAAGATAATGGGGAGCAAAAGGTACATATATTGTTGGCAACACCGTTGGCAATGCTACCAATTCCCAAGGCAGGGGACATCCAAATCTTGGACGGACCGCGATGTTTGCCCGTATGTTGTAGTCCCCTATTTTGAACTTCTAACAGTTAGTTACAAAATTATGGTTTATTCTTTCTAACACATTTAAAACTGTACCCAATGAATTGACCTTCTCTCTCACACATTATTTACGACAAAATAGCTGAAGGGGGCTGTGTGAATCAGTGTAAAATACGACTTCAGCGCGGACGCACGTATATTTAAAATAAAGAAGAGACAAAGTGTGGTGATTTTTTAAAATTACTAATAATGGAATCGTGAGTATTTATTCATTATATTTTACTAAGACGAAGTGAATGTTATTTGCATTTTATGACAAAAAAACGTCTTTGAAGTAACGGCCTCGTCATTTTTTGAACCTAACGGTCACTTTAGTTGGTCGTTTTTAATAGAAAAATTAATAAAATCCAAACGATTTTTTGTAATGAGATCAATATTTTAATGAACTTAATTAAAAGTATTACAAAGGACGTGTATTTTGTCGCAAATGTAAAAATTTCGACTTCAAAGATGTGAACACACATTTTTTTATTGCTTTGGACGAGCTCACAGCCCACCTGGTGTTAAGTGGTTACTGGAGCCCACGGACATCTAAAACGTAAATGCGCCACCCACCTTGAGATATAAGTTCTAAGATCTCAGTATAGTTACAACGGCTGCCCCACTCTTCAAACCGAAACGCATTACTGCTTCACGGCAGAAATAGGCAGGGCGGTGGTACCTACCCGCGCGCACTCACAAGAGGTCCTACCACCACTTATAGTGAACGGTCTGTAAGTCGTGACATCGCAACGATACTGCGCAACATATATCCCGCAGCGCTATCACGTACTTCGCAGACAATTAGCAGAAGACAAATACCTATTGTGCAAATATTGCTGTCAACTGTCAATTTCGTATTACGGACTTACAACAAATCAGCAGATCCCGGATCATTACTATTGCTGCCTCTGCAGAGCGTTTTGTGAAACTTTAGTGCATTCTTTTCCATACGACTACCAACAATTAATTGACATACAGTCGGTATTACGGATGCTCTTGTCTGCCACACAACAGCAGATATTTAGCAATTTCGTTTGTTAAATTTGCGACACCTTTTGTATCTAAATTGTGCTAAATTGTTGCAAACTATCTGCAAGTGTAACATTTGGGAAATTAAATAATTTTAACTTGATTTATAATAGGTAAGTGTAATTGGTTCAGATCTTTATTCGTGTTTGTGTTTTCTATAATATTAACATTAAACACCACGCTGGGCCATTTAAGTACATTAATAATGTTGAGGTCAAGTTTATTTGTTACAAATTAATATTTATTCTAGATATATGACTATGGACAGAGCTCTAATGATAAATGGGGCTTTGGAGGCTAAGGAAATTGAGTCGGATACACTCGAATCAGTGCGTTTGCGACGCTGTCTTCGTAATCAATCTAGCCCCCTTAATCTATCGGAAAGTCTGTTCAGAACACATTATAGAATTTCAAAACATCTATATTTGCAATTGTGCTCTGAATTAAAGCCGTTAATAATCTAGATCACCAAGACGAACAAGAATAGAATATAGTAGAATGCAAGGTACCTATATATATATATATATTCAATTTAACATCTGAATATGTGTAAATAATGAAGAAAATAAAAGATTCACAAAATCGTGTCTTCAAAAGTAGCATTGTTTTTTATGATTTCAGACTTATTCTTAACTAAATGTTTTAAATAACTTGTTTATACAGGTGTTAACAGCATTGCAAAATTTCATACCAGAAACCTGTGAGAATGAGCTTTTTGCATTTTGAGTCAAACTGTAATAAATTCAATCCCATTAGGGAAGTGGCTATGGCATTAAACAACCTTCCAATTTTGTTGAAACATTTAAAGTTTCTGCAACCAGTAAAATGGGTCACAAGTTATTATAAATGGGTAAGTTAAATAATTATCTTATAGTATATAGCGCAAGAGTTCCACTGATTTCACAATTACATATTTTATTCTTTTATTTATTAATTATATTCTTGAAGCTTTATAATTAAACAGAGTTCTGGGAAATGTCAAGTCCTGGTGAAACTGGAAAGGCCACCATTAATCTTTTCTTCATAATTTTTTTTAAGAATTTATTTATTTTTATAGTACATAGATATTTGAATGATAATAGTTTTGTGTGCAGTGGCATTGTTATTGAAACAAGAATATAATAGTAAATAAATTTCTTTATTATAGATTTTACAATAAATTTTGCTTTCCTAGGGTTTCAGAGTGTATAGATGGCACTCATGTTGCACTTATCAGATCTTCTGAATATGAAGAAAGGTTTTAGAACCGCAAGCATTATCATTCCAAGAATGTGCAAAATAGTAAGTGTTTTGCCTATCATTCACAATAACATACATTTGATAGTACTTATCTGAAGAATTAAAATTTTCAGATCTGTGATAGTGATCTTAACATTTTAAGTATTGATGCAACATTTCATGATACATTTGTCTGGTTTAACACTGAACTGAATATGCCTATGCAGGATCTACACCATAATGATGAAAATGTTTGGTTTTTAGGCAAGTAAAACATCATGAGCTCTGTCTCAGTAACCCAAGTACAAAATAATACTCAATCTAAAAGTATATTTAAAACTGGAAAGGCAGTTAATATATAGTACTATAGTAATGTTTATTGTCATACCAGGAACACTGTTGACCATTGTGAGTATTGAAAATTGCTTGGCGAAATATATTGTGCCAATGGAAAAATAACCGACGATCGCCGACAAGCAACGATTCCAAAAGGATGTTTTCCTTATTTGCTATCCATGCTTTTAGATGCCCTAAAGGATAATGCTAAAGATAATATTGTAGCAGGTTTCAAAAAAACAGGAATAAATTCATTCGACCCCACACATATACTGAAACGATTACCTGGATATGAAAGAGTTAGCCACCAATCAGAAACTATCAATGAATCTGTTTCAACAATAATAAAAGACATGGAACAATGAATGTCGTTGAACCTAAAAGAAAAAGGAAAATAGTAGTCGAACCTAGAAAAAAGGTCAGTCTTGAAGAAACTTATGCTGAAACAAAAGAGGAGAATAAAGAACGCAAGAAAAAGAAAAGTAAACTACAAGTTGCTAAAAACAAAGAAGGAATTAATGACAGCAAGCAAAAAGGACCAATAACAAAAAAAGAAAAGGGTATAGGGAAAAAACAAAACCACCACTACTGCCAGATGAAACTGAATCGATAGCCGCTAATTATTCCAAAGATGCTCTTGAAGGAAACTTGCTTCAAATAATTGAACCTTGCACTAGTAAATATACAGAAGATTATTATACAGAAGTAGAAAAATCGTTACAGCCAAAGATAGATAAAGCTAACATTTTCAATAACTATTTAGCTATAGTAACCATATCAATTATTTTTGGAGATGATGTTTTGACAAGTCATTATGAAACAATTGACAATTATAATGTTTCAGATGTCATAGTTTCAACTAATGAAACCAATAACAAAATTCAAGTTCTATCTGATATGACGGTTGCAGTTTCTAAACCAGTACAAAAATTCTCATATAATAATGATAATAATAATAATATCAAGTTTATTTTGCCCGATACTAAACTACAAATCTTAGAAAAGTCTAGAACTGTTAATAAAGGTATTAAGAAAAAAGTAAAACAAGTACCATTAATCAAGACAATCAAGATGGAAAAGCCACGAAGCAAATATAAAGATTTCGATGAATCTTGCTAGAAATTGCGGTATATAAAAATATATTATCGTCATACGAAACAGAAAAACAATTTGGTATACCTCACCGCACGATTTTAAATAAGGTCAAACAAAGACACAAAAAGAATTGAGTGACCTACCACAAACCGCCACTAGCTAATGAAAAGAAAATTACAAGCTGTTTGATTCTATGCGGAGAATATGGGTATTCCCTTACCTGCTTTGAATTAAGGTCAATAGTACACGACTATTTAGTTAAAAACGGACTCACCTATTATATCTTTTTAATAACAAAATGCACGGTACCAGAAGTGGGTAAGGAGCTTTTTGAAACGCAACAAATATATTCTGAGTGTGCCGTTTACAGGATATAGATCTATAAAGGAATCTCGGGCCAAAGAATTTTCATTTTGAATTTTTTGAGAACCTTAAAATTTCTGTTCATAATGTTAAATCAGATCATATACTATGACGTCATAAACTATGACGAGACAATTTTTTCCGACAACCCAGGATCCCAAAAATGCATATTTAAAGCAGGCGCTAAACATCCAAAAAACGAAAACTGCAATATCAGTCATGTTTTCGGCTACAGTCAGTGGAGTAATATTCCCGCCGTATGTGGTATATAAAGCTGATAATTTATGGACAAATTGGTGTACCTAAAGGAATCA